GAATTAATGAAAATTGATTAGTTTTTAAAGATCTCTAAATATCCTCTGGTCCGAACGGATCCGACGTCATGAACTTTGACCTCGATTTTTTCGGAAACGGGGGAGTATCTAGACAAACGGCGAAACACGTATCTATTTGTTTTCGATGAAGAAAATCTGTACCAAAGGCCATCAAAATCAGTAACCCATACTTCATGGCCTCTCCCTGTAAGATTCGACTACTAATGAGCGACTTAAAACTTTTCGATAATTTCGAAGTTAAGTAAAAACGAGATTGAAAGAGCTAGAAATGCCTTTCTTCTTAAACGTCTAGTTGGTACTAACAACACAGATCGACATTATACATGCAACATGAATGAGATGAATCATTTCCCGTAAATTTTTGGTGGCTGAATTCGAATCCGGATACGAGATTTTTGTATCACGTAAAGTTTTTCAAAAAATTAAAGTTAAATGTATTGAAAAACATGTTTTTGGCAATTTTTTATACAATGCTGCGATGAACATGACATGCTGGAGACTTTTAATAGGGATTCAATTAAAGCTTGAACCTTGTGATTTGGTATTATCATAATGAAAATAATGTTGAACTTGCCTATCCTGAACGGTAATAGATTTTCGTTGCGCATACGCGCTCACCACTTCCCATTGCACACCGTCCGGGGAATTCTAGAAAAGTGCATTCGAATAAACATGCAGAATATATTTTTTATCCAACATTAATTTTTCTTGTTTTATATGGAAGTTGATTAAATTTCTGAAAGCAAAGCCTGATTTTAATTAAATTTTTATTTATTAAAGCTTTTTAACTAAAGTTATAATAAATTTTTAAAGAAAGAAAATGTTACGTCCTGGGTTCCTCGGGAACTACGAATTTCTTTTCTTATATATATAATTGGAAGGCAGACGGACGTCGGGCAAGCATTATCGTGAAAGGAATAAGATTACGATGGCTCGCCGTATGACGCGCCGTGGGTTTCCCAATGTATCTGTCATCTCATCCGCCTTCACATAAGGCGCATAGGTTCATTGCATCCTGGATACCGTGAGAACAACAAATTTCTTTTAATTACCAGGAAATAGGCAGATTTGGGTAAGCACTTTCATAAAGAGGATGTAATTATACTCTGCCCAAATGCGTCATGTGTCTCTCAACGCATCCGTGATCTTATTCATTTTCTAATCTTCCATATCCGTTTCCCGCTTTCCACGAAAACTCTCCTCATTGGCGATCGTCATCCGTCACCCCTTCCCCCAAATCTTCCCTATAAAACCCTTACTCTCTAGCCACTCACTCTCAGTCGATCTCTCAGTCAGTCTCAGTCGATCTCTCAGTCAGTGTCAGTCAATCACTCAGGCAGTGTCAGTCAATCACTCAGTAAATCAGTCAGTCAGCCACTCAGAGTTAGCTAGTCAGAGTCAGTCAGTGTCAGTCGGTCAGTGTCAGTCAGTGTCAGTCAGTCAGTCAGTCATTTTTCTTCTTCTTCTGCTGAGTATCAATGAACCCATGTTCTACGTACTATTCACTACAATCGATTCACCTAAATCGTAATTCTCTATTTCATATTTAAACATGATTTTTAATCGTTTCAATCGAATCTCCAATCCCACTTCACTCCTTAAAACACACACATATACTGCGTAATTATTATCTTCTTTGTATTGTATAACGATGTTTTTCTCGCTACACCGATACGTTAAACATTCTTGTTACGTTATATCCGATTGTATTAAATTAAGTTACACGAATTACCTTTTTACTTTAATCTTCACCTTGTATTTACATTATTCCAATAACGATGATTTATAAAAGTTTGTTCAATGTTAACCCATATATCTCATTGTTTAACTTTAGCTAACTATTTCATCTTTTAAATATTGTATCTTTTACAATGTCTTTTCTCATCAATTTACCACTATTATTTATCCGTGTGAGAACCAAATTATGTTTTTGGTATAATTAATAAACTGTTTTATACAAAATGCTCTAAATTTAACCAACTCGTTAAAATTATTCATTCATTTCCTTTCAATTATCTAAATCTAAATTCCCTTCTCAACACGCTCATATGGTCCTATCCCAGGTAAAGAGATTAAATTCTTTGACCTAAATAAAGGACCACCTAACGTACGTTCTGTGATCGGAGTAAATGGACCTCTCCCGACCTTGATCTGATCTGCAGACCTACCAGTACGTTTAGGTCTCGCGAGTGCACGAGTAAGCGATATTTGTTGCGTACATCCTCTTCTAGGACGTAACAAAAATATGACGTTTCCTATTTAGAAACGGTTGAAAACTAATCTCAGATTTTTTTTTTTAATTATTCAATTGAATTATCATTATATTAAGCTGAAAGTTATAATTTTGAAAATATAATTTTCAAAATTATTATAATATACTAAAATTTAAATTTAATGAATTTTAATTTTAATTAACATTTAAATACACTGAATTTTTAAAATTATAATTTTCAATTAAATATATAATGATAATATCATAATAATATAATTTCAATATAATGAAAATTCAACTAAATTATTATTAATGAAAAGTAAATATTGGATAAAAAATATAATCTGAAGGGTTGTCCGGATGTACAATTCCATAATTTCACGGGCAGCGTACGGTGATGGATGGCGAGCGCGCACGCGCAGCAAAAGTCTATTACCACTCAAGACAGGCGGATGCATTATTATTTTCATGATGATTATCCCAAAGTACAAGTTCAAGCTCTTCAAGCTCTAATTGAACCCCCTGTTTAAAGTCTCTAGCACGTTAGATTCGCCTGTAGCGTTGTTTAAAATATGATCAAAAACGCGTTTTTTCACATATTTGATCTTAATTTTCTGAAAAACCTGACGTGATACAAAAATTTCGCTTCCGTATTCAGATTCGGCAATTAAAAATCTACGAGAAGTGATACATCTTATTCATATTACATATTTAATGTCAATTTGTGTGTAATTCAGCACGAATATGGGCGGAACTAAAGAGCATTGGGTTCGAGAAACCTAAAGATAGCGCAGTTTCCCTTGCATCTTCCTTAGAATGGCTTAATCATTTCTTCTCAAATTCACACTCTCCAGTATCATTATGGCTTAATCATTTCTTCTCAAATTCACACTCTCCAGTATCATTAGGCTTCGCTCATCAACTACACGGGTTATCAGGATATTTCCCCTCCTCTTTTCCGATCAAAACTCCAAACACTTTTCACTTGTCTCCTCTCTACAATACTATCGCACTCTCATGTTTGACAATCATTCATTATGGTTTAGGTTCTCTACCCTTGGATACCACTGACTTTACAAACTTCTACTTTAAATATATAACTCCTCAGGAGCTGCTCTGCACAATAACAACTTTTCGTTCTGGAACTTGCAGACCTAATAGAGTTAACAAACAACTTCTCAAAGTCGGTATGCCTGTCATTTTTCTTTTTATCCTCGACCTCTTTAACTTCTTTCTCGGGTCATATACTTTCCTTTTCATTAGAAGCTTTCGCATATTACCTTTATCCCTGAAACCTGACTTCATTCTTTCCCCTCTGACCATAGGCCCATTTTAAATTTAAGTCTTCTCTCCAAAGGTTTTTGAGAAACTCGTGCATGATCAACTAATGAGTACCTGAATCAGCAATTCCTAGATCTATTTCATCAAATAGGATTCCGTAAAGGTCAAAGTACTCAAACAGCAGTTCTGAATTTACTTGACGATGTCAGGATAGTGGTGGATAAAAAAATACTACCTCTGCTCATATTTTTTAATTTTAGGAAAGCCTTCAGTTTCACTGCCCCGTTTCGGGCCAGACTGGTATCTTCACTCGTTTTTCCGTACTTCAACTACTGCTGTACGATAATAACTGATATTACAATCGTTCAGCGAATTAAACTTAACAGAACTTTGAATTTATGCGTACGCTTTATATTTGATCTACGCTGAGAAGATCATATTAAATCTTGGTATAACCTACTGGATTGGCTGAAGGCTGACAGCAGAAGGATTTATATAATAGGAATTCTCATACATATAATACTAGCTTTCAAGATTTCTTTTTACATTTCCTGCAAACTAAAACCGCCGTCAGGTACACATCTCATCGCCTTCCGCCCAAAGATCTCCAGCCGCCACAATATTATATCACCATACTTGAACAATTTTTCTTTAGTACTGCTATAGCTCTGTGAAATTTGCTTCTTCGCTAAATTAAAGATTCTACCATCTTACTAATGTTTAAGCAAAAACTATATCGTTGTATGCATCAAAATTTAATGTAAATATCAACTGTTTAAACATATAATTATACAATGAAAACTATAAATTAATTATAGTATTCACGAATGTTTTTAGAGGGTAATTATAAACACTATAATGATAATAAACACTTTTATCTATCTATTTTATATAATTGATGTAATTTTTACAAGTATGGCAGTTATAATAACTATTTTGCTGTTGCCTCACCTATTGATTGTTTTCTTATTTATTCTCTATACTTTTCTATTTATTATTATATCCTATTTATCCTCTATACTTGTTTATTTTCCTTTTCATTTTAATGACCAAAACAATTATTATTATTATTAAATATTCTGTGTTATGCTTTTAAATATATTATATTTTTATCGAAATTTCATATAATGTCCGTATATTCTAGGATATAATCAGTCTATTATGAATAAGAAACAGTGAAATTAGTTATAAATTTAGAACTGCAATCGATATAAAATCTTCCTACAAGGATTTTGTTAATAGTAACCAATGAAATTAATTTTGTGGTATAGACTTTCACTAGACAAAATGAAATGTGAAACTAATAAAGGAGCTAAGTGGGAGTATTTTTACTGAATATTAGAAAATCATTGATATCGGTGAAATATATTTTAATTATATAATCATAAACGTTTATCACTAATTCGCTTTAAGAAAGAATATTGTAAAAAAATTATCAAATTAAGAATTGATAAAGTGGATTATTTCGAAATAATGAAAAACTTACTACTGTATCCAGATCAACCCCAAAGAGAGGCGCTACCCTCGTAGCTAAGGATATAACTGGCAGACCCCTTCGACGGAAAGTTTGTTGGGCGTCGGTGTATCGCAGTCTTAAATAGATTGTGCCACGTGGCTCGACTTTGACGGCCAGTTGATGTACTGGCGACTCTTTCAGTAAAGTCGCCAAGTGCACCGATCCCTTGTAACAGAGTTTATGCCTGTACTGTGGGTCCCAAGAATAGACGAGCAGATCCAGCTGCCGATTGCCTACGAGGTCCAGCTCGAAGGTTTCATCCCAATCAAACATTAAGTCCCCGGTTCGCACCACTGTGCGCGCTTTGTGCACCCTGTCGCACTCCAGTACGCAATACAAGTCTCTCAAGCCACAACTAGCTGTAAAATTTGTTTTCAAATTAATATATATGCATAATTGAAAATTTACAATAGGGTAATACACACTCCGAGGTTAGCAACAATGAGATTAATAAGGAAAATATCAGGTCTTGTCATCACGAATTTCGTTCAAATTATATCACTTGATAGCACAATTATGGAGGCAGGTTAATACGCTACACGTTGCATATTTGAATCTCGCATTATCTAACATTTTCTTTCCGATTAACATTAATTTTTATAAAAGGTTAATTTCAATTAACAATTAGGCAACATACAAATAACCTAAATTTGTCAAATAACCAAATTTGTCAAATTTGTTTTAAATTATGATTTAAAATATGTGTGTGTGTATGTGTGTGCGCGCACGCGCGCGTATGTGTGTGTGTATGTGTGTGTGTTAATTTATGTAACATTTTTTACTCGCGTATTTCACTGCTTGTAATCATATCAACAATATTAATTAATAATTACAATAGAAAGTTCAGGTTAATTTTGTACATATGCTTTAATTACTAATCGAAATTTTCTTCGGATTGATTTTCAGAAAACATGTTTTAAAACAGACCTTGGCAAAATTTCGGAATGCACGCTTCCCCTTCTTGTCAAGCGTGATTTGGTAGCAGATTGAGATAAGACTCTTTACCACTCCTTACATAAAAATATTATTAACTAGTCAATAATCAATTATCCTAGTAATTTTATTATTAGTGCCTAATAATTTTGTATCTTGGTAATTTCGTTATTATTGCTTAATAATTTTGAATACTTAAATTACAGAGATACTAATAATGTAGAATTATTAAGTGATAATGACGACAATAATAATTACTGATCTAATACAAAATCCTAATAATAAATTGGTGCGAACTCTTTCTCAGGAATTAATTATTCATGTGAAGTACAGCATCTAGTAATTAAAACTTGTTCTAATAATTGAACGTAGTACTTTTGTACTGTTTTACATGAGTCATCAGTACCTAGTGAAATAAATTAATTTTGAAATGTTTCCTCCAATTACAAAAGACAGAGGTGATAAATTTACGAGAAGAATTTACATAGACGCATTTGTTAATCTTTACTTGTTTCTTTTTCACACTTAGTGGAAGTAATTTATACTGGAATTCGAGATTATAATAACTTTTTTATATTATATGACACATCATTTTTCACAAATTCTCAGAATACACTGTAAACTCATACGCGACGTTCCATTTATTTATCAAATATTATAAATATATTATGTAAGAAACATCCGCATTTTTAACAAAAATAATTAAAAATTTGTTGTAACGAGAAAAATATATATAAATTTTCTCATGATTAATATGAATTATTTCATAACATATTTTTCCAATGTACCTTATAATTTGCTTCGAAATTCATTATAATCTATAATTAAAAATCTATAAACAATAATAACGTCACTGGTTCACTAATATATTAGATAGTTGCATATGAAACCGCTCATTTTTTAGCAAAAGAAAAGAAAGCGGTTTGATAGCAAATCGACGAACTGGTTTATTCAAATCATTGCCCATCGGAATAGTCAACCTTGGCCCATTTTACGACCAACAATCGGATTCCACGCAGGAAGAATTCGTATTCTTTGCAGGCAATCCAATCATCCAGCAATTTTTTGACTCCTTCGTACGAGGTGAAGTGCTGTGCCGTAAGCGCTGATTGCATCGACCGGAACAAATGGTAATCGTAGGGAGCGAGGTCTGGGGAATATGGCGGGTGAGTTAGGATTTCCCAGTTTATTCCTTTTAAGTACTTCTTGACTGGTTGAGCAACGTGCAGCCTGACGTTGTCATGTTGCAAACTCAACTTCTTATGGCAATTCTTTCATTCCAGCCTCTTCTCGTGCAGAGCTCGTTTCAAACGGATGCAGTCGATAACGATCCCTAGTGATGGTTTCTGGCAGTTTTAGCAGCGGTTTCCGTGACCTCAAATTTTTTGGGTGGTTTTTCGTGGTGTTTGTTATCCACAGAGAAATCACCACTTTGGAAGCGGCGAAACCACTTTTTGCACATTATTAAATAATAATAAATAATAATAAATAGTTATTTATATGTATAGTTATGGTTATTTATTCACGAGCTATGCATTAATATTGTTTACATTTCAATATTGTATGTTATGGAAAATATAACGTTGTACTCGATGGAGCATGTTAGGCATACACTTCATTTAGCAAACGATGCATTTACGCGGGCAATTTCTTTGCCAGGAAATAATAGAGCATAACAACCGCAAATATGAATTATTTGGAACAAAACTTGCCATTGTAAATACAATAAAAATAGATGATGTTAACACGTCGCACTAATGTTACTTATGGCGTTTTGGCGGGGCTCTATAGCCCTGTCATCATGTGTATTGTCAACATTCAATTTGAAGAAATAGTGTACCTAACGCCATCTATTGCCAGCGGAATGTTTCACATACAACCACTTAATATAATATATCACATTAATTTTCGCGACATGGCAACTGTTCTTGTGTTGTTTTCAACATTTCCTAGCATTATGTCATTGCCACTGTTTTTTGAACGATATAAGAATATATTGTAAGCATAACCTTTCGAGATATCATCAGGGCATATTGGTATTAAAAGTTTCTCTTCGATCATGGTGTAAAGCAATATTGATCACGGTTAGAACATGGATTGATGATCATTTTAGGATTATTTTAGAATCAAATCTAAGGGAGGACATATGAAATGAAAAAATGTAAAAATTATAGTAGAATTTTTTTTTTACTAAAATGATTTAATGTTAGTTCGTTTCACTTAGTTTTCATGAACATAATATTGCTACAAACAATATTCTGTAATAATATTTTGTAACAATATTCTGTAAATGCAGTAATTAATTCCCCATACAGCGCAGAAATGTTTCAGAGATATTTCAGAAATGTTTCATGTAAAAAAGTAAAACATCTCATCAGAAATGTTTAAAAATGTTTCTGAGACAGATCTGGGATAGCAAAGTATCCACGATTTTTGCACTTGAAACTTTCCTGAAGATATGCCGAAGGTACTGAAATATGTCTGAAATATGAAATATGTCTGAAACTTTTCTGAACGTTTGTTGAAAAGTTACTGAAATAGTTATTTATATGTATAGTTATGGTTATTTATTCACGAGCTATGCATTAATATTGTTTACATTTCAATATTGTATGTCATGGAAAATATAACAGTCAAATAAAATTATTTAAAAAAGTTTAATAACATTTGTACCATAAAAGAACTAATAATATTTGTTAGTTAGTTATATCAAATTGGAAACATTGTTGAATAAAAAGGAGATAGTCCAGACTGCTTGTCGATAACCGTGGAAATTGTTTTATATTTCGTACGTTCTTTTTACGCATCTTTGTATGGAATGGATCTAGAACAGCGGCCAGCCGGTCAGCCATCTATTTCTAGTACGCGGTTGCCTTTCTTAACTTCGATGATCGGAGGGCCCAGGAGGCTCGATGACACGTCCGACGTAAGCGACTTCGCCGAACTAGGCAGGCTTATAAGCTCAGGTTTCGTTTGTTTTTTTCTTTTTTTTTTTGTTGATGTTTAGAAAGGATTTTAAACTTTAAAGTTTGCCAAATGATTTTCGTGTTAGATAGATGAGTGAAGGAGAAGAGGAGAAGGCAAGGAGGATGTAAAATTGTCAGAAACTAATTAAAATATAATTATAATTATATAAATAATTGGAATAAAATTATGATTATAAAAATATGAATACGGTTTATTTAGAAGTTATAAAAAACAGAAGAAAGAAATTAAAATAATGAAATTAAAATATGATAAACTAAACGACAATATTTGATTTGCAGTTACGTTCAACGGTTCACAATGCAGAAAGAGAAAGAGGACACTAGTCGCTAATAAATGCAAAAAAAAGATTTACTATAATAATTCACAGTGGTGGCGAGACGATGAACCATCAAATCGTCGTTCAACTAGAGGGTCGGGCTCCAGTTTAGGGCTAACGGCGATATTGTACTGCAGCGATGATGCGTCGAGACAGCGACACTAAGGTACAACATCGAATTTGCGAAACGAGTTGCATTCTTGATGATTATATAAATTTTCAAACTCGAGCTGAATCAAGGTATTGAAGCATGACTGTTTAAAGAATAAGATTAAATTTGTATGAATAAGCCGGTTTGAAAAAGACACGCCGGTTAAGCATTGGAGATTTAGAAGACGCGGATGTGCCGGACAAGTGCTCGGACCGAAGTATAGTGCCGATATCTCTTGGGCCCACCGTTGAACCCCTTTTGTTTCATCTTAACTTTGTCGCAGTCAGCAAGTTTGCGAGAACTCACGATGGCTTTATCACCACACAATTGGTTTCATACCAGGGCAACACATTCACTGGTGTTCTTGGAAAAGTCAGGAGAAGTAGGGAATAACCGAGAGTTGTGATGGAAGAAGATGAAGATGGTCGCATATAAAGAAAATGACAAATAAGCTATGACGAAGCGCAGGAAGAGCAAGGCAGCATGCTATTGGGAAGAAATTTGGAGGTTGGTATCGCGCGCTGTGTCTTGCTCCAAAAGTATCGCAGGACACATTTCAAATTTGCTTCATGGATTACGGAAACGTAAACAACAAGCAAAAGCAAATCTCTGTAATATTGTCAATTTAACACCTGTCAATAGTGAAGGCAAGTATAGAGACGTCCGTATCGGTGAGAAATTCGAACCGTCATTTACGGTGTGTGTGACAGTGACTCGCTAGCCACATACTTATGCTTCGCGACGATTATCGCAGACAGCGGTGTTATTGCGTGCGATCCACACACAGACCGATAGTCAACGGCAGAAAGGGGAGGGAGGAGGAGGGAGCAGGGGGGGGGGGAATAAAAAGAAAAGAATTATACAAGGACGAAAATTTAGAAATCGGCGGTGTAAGAAGGACGTCGTGACTTGGGAACTTACTATATATGTACGAAGGTGGATCAAATATAAACGAACCTTTTGCAAAAAAACCATATATTTTTCAAAATAAATTCTAATTTACATTTTTCTTATTTTTCTACATAGTTCTACATAGTAAAAAGTTCGCGGACGTGTATTAAACCAATTGCACACGAACTGCTGCATCTCCACGTTCGTTGTGAAGCGCTCTCCACCAAGAGCTTCCTTGACTGACTAAAACTTATAGAAGTCGCATGGTGACAGATCTGGACTGTAGGGTGGATGTTCTAGGACATCCCAGTGCATATCGGCCAATTTCTGTTATGTTACTGCTGCGGTGTAGGGTCTAACGTTGTCACGGAGAAACAACACACTTCTGATCGGAATGTCACGCGTTTTTGACCGATAGGCAGCTCGAACTGAAGTTCCTGAGAGATTTCAAGAACAGTTAATTGCCGATCGCCTTCGATGAGTTCTCGAACAGCCTCGGTGTTCTGCGCTGTTATGCTGGTACGAGGACGATGCAGGTGGGCCAATGTTCTCAACATGCTCCCGTTCTTTCTTAAATTCGCTACACCACTGCTTCACCCAAGCCCATGAAAGGGTTCTTTCCCCGAACTGTGGGAGTAAACGTCGCCGAACTTCAGCAGCATTTACATTTTCGTTGACGAGAAACTGAATAATAACACGTTGTGCAACTGCGGGGTGTACCTCTTTCTCGCTCGTCGTGATTGCTGCTGAGAGTAAAAAGCGCGCCAGCGCGTGGGGAAACATCTTCTTTCTTTCTGGATCTTTCCAATTGTTTTCAAATGTGGCGCGCCAACGTTATTATTGCCTTCCACATGACCCTCCTCCACTGTCCAAAACGTTGCAGACTTCTCACCGTCGACGGGCGCGCAATTTAAAAAGGCTCGTTTATATTTAATCCATTCTCGTACATATATGACCATGCTTTGTTTGATAAGCTTTATCGTGTTCATTTTCCTTATATATATAAATTTATAAATGTAAATATAAATATAAGCAAGTAAATAAATAATTTAATAAATAAATAAATATTTTTGCGAAAATACGAATTCGTACATGGCACTAAAAAACCCGTGCCTTGCTTGTTAAGATTTATCGTGTTTATTTTCTTTATATACATAAATATATAAATATAAATATAAATATAAATATAAACATAAATATAAATAAATATATATATATATATATATATTTATATTTATATTTATATATTTATATATATAAAGAATATAAATACGATAAATGTGCCATGTACAAATTCATATTTTCGCAAAAATCATATATTTAATTTACCGCCAATTACTTTGTCCGATCTTAAGTTTAGGGTTGCGCGGGCAAATTATCTTTTTCTTCCATTTGTTATTGTTAAGAGAGAAAAAATAACAAGGGCACGTGGTAACATCAGCCCGTAATTGGACTCGGATCTTTCACATGTCGGACGACTGCTTTACTATTAAGTTACTCATGCCTCACGTTTATCTAATACCTTCCACTTCTCTCGAAATGTTATTAATTTCATAGATGTTACAGAGAAATTCTAAAATCTTGTATTTAGGTGACGCACTTTTCCGCTGGTGTTCTTAAAACATAAAAACTTCTATACCAGGTGTATGCATAAGTTTTTTCCAGTTTAACTAAGAGATGGCGCCAGCGAAAAGTACGCAGCGTATTAATTTGACACATACGTCATTTTGTCCGTCTGACATTAAAAACTACAAACACACACAAGTTGAGTCCGCCAAAAACTAGCGTCTTTGTTTTATCGTTCAGTGATCATGTCGAGTCTTGTGCCTGAAAAATAACATTTGCGGCACGCATTGCTTTTCTTATTTAATCAAAAGAAGAAGGCTGTTGAAAGTCATCGTTTGCTGGTAGAAACATATGGTGAACACGCTCCATTGATTAGAACATGTGAGACATGGTTTCGACAATTTAAAAATGGTGATTTCAATGTGAAAGACAGTGAGCGTTCTGGTACCACAAAAATGCGAAGACGAGCAATTGCAGGAGTTATTGGATGATGACCCAACTCAAACTCAACGGCAATTAGCAGAATCATTACATGAATCACAAGAAACAATCAGCAGACGTTTACGAGCAATGGGAAAGATCAATAAACTCGGTAAATGGGTCCCACACAATTTGAATAAACGTCAAATGGAAAATCGCAAAGTCACTTGTGAAATGCTGCTTCAACGCCACGAAAGGAAATCATTTTTGTATCGAATTGTGACGGGTAACGAAAAATGGATTTATTTTGAAAACTCGAAGCGAAAAAAATCGTGGCTTTCACCTGGCAAAGCCGGTCCATCAACACCAAGGCCAAATCGCTTCGGCAAGAAGACCATGCTCTGTGTCTGGTGGAACCAGAGCGGTATTGTGTATTATGAACTCTTGAAACCCGGCAAAACCGTTAATACACAACGCTATCGCCAACAAATGATTAATTTAAACCACGCATTAATCGAAAGACGACCGGAATGGGCCAGAAGATATGGCAAAGTGATTTTGTTACACGACAATGCGCCATCTCACACAGCAAAACCAGTGAAAGACATCTTGATATCGCTTGGATTGGACATCTTTCCGCACCCGCCGTACTCCCCAGACCTGGCGCCATCTGACTATTACCTCTTCGCATCAATGGGGCACGCGCTCGCAGAGCGGCACTTCAGCAATTTCGAGGAAGTTGGAAAATGGCTCGACGAATGGTTTGCCGCAAAAGACAAGCAGTTTTTCTGGCATGGTATTCATAAATTATCTGAAAGATGGGCGAAATGTGTAGAAGCCGATGGCCAATATTTTGAAAAAAAAAAAATTAATTTCCCTTGAAAATTACGTGTTTTTTTTTACCAAAAAACCGGAAAAAACTTATGCATACACCTGGTATTTTCCTCGTTGCATTGAAATATGCGAATAAGAAATATTACATCTATAAATCACACACACACACACACACACACGTTAAAGCATAATTTTTTAGCATAATTAGATTTTTTATACGTTGCCTAATCATTGATTTAAATTAACATTACGTTAAAATTAACGTTAAAAGGAAAACAAGTTGAATAATGTCAGACTGGTACATGCAACATGTATCATATTAGCCCGCCGTTTTAGTCACTATGCTACGTTCACTATCTGGCAATCTCGATTCATAAGTGGTACCTAACTGGCGCAAGAAATGCATGTAAATTTCACGCGAATGCTTGAAAGTGCATCATCTCACTTGCCTATCAATTAATAGGAGGATTAATACTATAACATATTATAATTTAATCGAAATCCGTGATAACGAGATCTGATTCTCCCTTTGTGGTACTCCATAAATTAATATCACACAAAATACTGCCTCCAAAAAAATTCAAGTTTAACTTCAAGTTTAAAAAATCGAATTCAATGTAGGTGGAAATTAAATAAAATCAATATTTTAATTCTTATTCGTCATTTGCTAACATCTGTCGACATTTATATGTATGATCGATACGTAACCAGTACATATAGGACTTACCTAAATTTGGTTGTCCCGAAGGAGTGGAAGGTGTGGTGGCAGCCGATGAGGTCGTAGTCGATCGGAGGCCGCGTCCCGCCAAAAGATGGACCCATAATAATCCGCTGACTCCACCGGCCAAATCTCCACTGGTCTCCCCGAGTGAACTCAAGAGCGAGCTTGTCGAGCTCGGAGTGCCTACATTTGGCGGTTTCTCTATTTTATACTTGAGGAACTCTACACAAAAGAAAAATATTTTTTATATTTTTCTCCTCAACAATACATACAAAAATTTTTCTTTTCTTCAAACTGATTTCTATCTATATTGAGTTGGGGAAAAAGTATTTTTATAAGTTGCCGATAAATAAAAATCTGTTCAATTGTTTACATGACGTTATTTTATAACATTAGGTTGTATATCATTGAAAATACCATTTTATGAAACATTTTAAATTAGATTCATGATAAATTTGAATAATATTATAGATTCATGATAAATTTGAATGATATTAGTGCATTCAATCAAATTTAAAGATGAGTTAAAATCAGGAACATTTTCAACACATTTTATTTTTTTATAATAAACAATGAAAAAACACCGCACAAGACAAAGAAAAAATTTGTCGTTTCTATAAAGAGGATGTTGTAACTAGACAAACAGCATTGAATTGGTTTCGCCAATTTCGAAATGGAATATAAAAGATGCACATTGTTTTGATCGACCTATTGTAGAAAATGTCGATGAAATCTTCAAAAAAATTGAAAAAATCATCATATGAGCTGCTCTGACATATATACGAAATCTGGCTATTAAATAACGAGACTGCGCGCGCAGTCGTCCTAGAGGAGAAGGGGGGGAGGGGGACGAATGCAGCGTTGGATAGGTGGAAGTGTCTACTATTCCAGTACGAAAACTCGTTTTTGTCGCTGTAGTAGTATTTTTTTCTACAGAGGTTAGAAACGAACGTGTTTTTTCTCGTGCCGATAACAATGTGTGACGAAAAACACGAGCAACGGATCAATGTGAAATTTCTCGTTAAATTAAAAAAAACTCCGACTGAGTGCTATAACTTGTTGAAAGAGGCCTATAATGAGAATTCTCTATCTCGTGAGCGTGTTTTCGAATGGTATAAACGGTTTTCTGAAGACCGAGAGAGTACCGAAGATGACCAACGTCCAGGTCGACCTATTTCTGTTTCAACTCCGCAAACAGTGACCAAAATCAATGAAATTGTGCGCGGAGATCGTCGTATAAGCATTAGGATGATTGCTGAGACTGTAAACACCGATAAAGAAACTGTCAGAAAAATTTTACATGACGAATTGAACATGAAGAAAATCTGTGCGAAGTTGGTCCCAAAAAATTTGACCCCTGACCAAAAGTTCGTCCGTCAACAGATCTGCTCAGATTTTCTTGAGAGGTTAGATGAAGAGCCTGAATTGATGGAAAACATAATCACTTGCGATGAAACCTGGATATTCCAATACGATGTTGAAACTAAGCGGCAATCCATGCACTGGAAAACTCCTGCATCCCCAAGAATGAAAAAAGCAAGGATGTCGAAATCAAAATTTAAAGCCATGCAAATCGTTTTTTTCGACATCAACGGCATCGTGATGACTGAATGGGTCCCAAAGGGTCAAACTGTAAACCAAATTTACTATTTGAAAGTTTTGGCAACACTGCGAGAGCGAGTTCGTAAGAAACGGCCGGAGTTGTGGAAAAACAAGTCGTGGATCTTGCACCAGGACAATGCACCTGCCCATATCGCACTGTCTGTGAAGCATTATTTAGCCGCTTCAGAGCCGCTTCAGAGGCACTTCAGTGCTCGAACACGTGCCGTACTAGCCTGATTTAGCACCCTGTGACTTTTTCCTGTTTCCAAAGATCAAATCTGTCTTAAAAGGAACCCGGTTCGAGTCGATGGAAGAGGTGAAGCGAAAATCGGCGGAGCTCCTAAATACACTTACAAAAGAAGACTTCCAGCATTGCTTTGACCAATGGAAAAAACGAATGGAACGGTGTGTGGCGAGGGGAGAGGAGTACATTGAAGAGGAGCATTCGATTGTAGAATAATTTTTAAAATAAAACTATTGTTCATAAGCAGTCTCGTTATTTAATAGCCAGACCTCGTATAGCTAAGGATGTAAATAGCAATTATAAAACCGTTTTGGGCATTTGCGTAAGGATAGATACATGAAGAATCTCGATATTTGGGTGCACACCTAATTTGACGCTAAAAAATTTAATGGATCAAATTTCCATTTGCAAATCGTTGCTGAAACGAAACGAAATTGAGCTATTTCTGAAAGAATGAATAACGAATGATGAAAAGTAAGGAACATACAACAATAATGTTTGAAAAAGATCGTGATCGAAACGAAGTGAGACACTATAAACGATCGCAAAGTCCAGATTGACGATCGCAAAGTCCAAAGAAGGTGATTCTGGTGAGAATGTAAGGGAATCGTTCACTATGAGCTGCTGCCGCCAGGCAATACGATTGATCTGTATTATCAACAACTAATGCGATTGAAGCGATCGATTCAGGAAAAGCGTCCAGAATTAATCAATAGGAAGGGCGTTGTCTTCCATTTTAACAATGCCAAACCACACACATCTTTCGTGACTCGGCAAAAATTGGGAGCTTGGCTATGAAGTTTTGATGCATCCACCGTATAGTCCCGACTTTGCATCATTAGACTACCATTTTTGCACTTCCACAGCCTATTAAAACCATGTATCAGTTAGACCATACTGTATCGATTTGAATAAATAAAAATCAGATGAAGTAATTTGTACAATATGTTATGTGCGACAGAACTTCATAATCTAACCTGAACAATGTCTCTTTAGTCGTAACAATAACACGCAAATTAGTGTTGTCGTTAAATTGATTTTACGTTGATTTGCAATTATTTGAGGGCGTTTTTCTTTCATGGCTTGGTTTAAATATTATTGTCATTATTATTGACTTTAACGATCTCTTGCGACTGTTTGCCCCTATGGTAATAGCTCACAGTAAATGACCCCTGTATATCTCACCAGATACACAGTCGTGGATGTATTTTGTTGCAAATGTCGATGGTCTGCCGGAATCAACTTGCCATGACTTTTGCGTTTAGGGTTGTCAAAATAGATCCACTTTTCATTACCCGTAATTATTTACACAAAAAACATTTTTATGCCTTGCAAGCAATGAGAAGCAAGCGGTAAGTCGGTTCGTAATCGCGTTTGCAGAGAATTCGTAGGGAAACATCTTCTTCTTTCTTTCTGGATCTTTCCAATTGTTTTCAAAGGCTAGATATTGTTGATTCATGAACTTCAAATTACTTTGCAAGTTCTTTTAATGTGTGGGCTAAGATTTTTTTGAGCAGTGTTTCCAATTCATTGTTATCCATCTTGTTTGGACGACCAGAACATGGCTTGCTGTTGACATCGTAATCGCCATTTCTAAATCTGTTTAACCACTTCTCACAGATAGCAGCGTGCACGGTATTCTCTTTATAGGTCTCATAAATCAGTCTATTAGTTTTGCAGCAGTTTCACTTTAATTAGAATGGTAAAGCGAATAGTGACGAAGATGAATTTTACTTGCTTCCATTTTCAATTATATGACGTTCTGTTCGAAATTATGAGGAGAAGAGAAGGAGAATGTGACTCTTTCGGCCTATAAATATAGTAACTTGTCGATCGACGTCATTTCAACGTATATGTGATTAAGTCAAAGTTATGTTAACGTATGTGCGATTATGTCAAAATCCATTTTTGCTACATCATAATGACATTGATTGACAAGTCGTAAAAACGACATGTGTTAGTTTATTGTGCCCTTTTCATGTTACAAAAAATTTTAATCATTTTCTCTGCGTTGAGAGTTAAAGAAAGACTTGCTGAGACCATCCATTATAGAGAGAAAAAAGTTTCTTTAGATTTAATCATTTTATTTACCTGATTAAAATTAGTTTTAGTGAAACAATATACAAAATATTATTTTATTTAATAAAAATTTTGTTTTTTTCATGCAAGAAAATTATTATTTAACGGAAAAGACATTATTATTATTTGAAATAATATCTTTCAATTAGATAATATATTATTTGGTTACAATAAGTATGTAAAATAAAATAAATAATTTCTTTATGTGGAAATGGCAAAATACACTTTTCCGTTGTATTTCAGTTTTCTTTCCGATGTTTCTCTTTTATTCAGTAGTGCAGATATATCGTACTGATTGTTTGAAATTACATACGGGCGCGCGCGTGCGCGTGTGTGTGTGTGTGTGGACGTTTTAGACACATTTACAACAGTTCCAATTAATTAATAGTGACATTCCAATTCATAATTCATCATTATTGCGTATAAAAACGACCTTTTACAGATTGACATAAGTCAGCGACCAATATAATTGTATCGAATTCCACAAAAACGCATTTTGAAGGGAAAACTGAACTTTGATGGCATTGCTTTTTATAATATTAAGCTATGTGCTGATTAACTCCGTGTAACTACCGAAAATGGACTTTCTGTCAACTTTGCAGGTCCTCACTCTATCATCCCTTATTGCAAAACTAAATATCCCATTAAAAATTTCTCAAAATTCAGCTTTTTAAGTTAAATTTTTGTGTTTTAACCAGCTCCGTAACATAATAATTTATTGCGTTACAAGCATTTGAAGTTTCTTAAATTCTTCCCATTTTTTTATAATATCGCTTTTCCTTTGACCAAATATTTTTACTCCAACTTTGTTTTAAATTTACATTTATTATTTGGATAGTGAAATAAATATACAGAAACATAATTTTTCTTGATAAGTAATAAATTAATAAAAAGCCCTTTTGATGTACTACTAAGTATGGTACTTAGTGAGTACTTAGTGAATCTCCTGAAAGATATCGCCATAGCTATTGGACTCATTGTCTGCTGTCCGATTAACATAGTTAAGAAACTTTCACCGCGGTATTAGGTTGGATGGCCACTTCTCGCCGCCTCAAGATCGAGAAATATATGATTTATATGAAACAACTTTCACGGTTACCGGCAGTTAGGTCCTGCGAAAGGAAATTATTTAAATTAAGTTATTACGGCATCCAGGGAACCACTCGTATAGAAATTTTTAAGCAGGGATCCAGTCGGATTTCCCCAATTGTCTGCCAGAATCTGACTAGTAAATCCCATCAGAATTCGGCTGGGAAACGTCCAATTTTTAAAGATGATGTTGACCAGGCAAACTTAA